CTCCAGTACTTTCTCTTCTGTTCTGCTGTCTCCAGGTACTGCCACATTGTCCAGACTTTTTTGTCTTTCTTATTGACAATTATTACTGTTTGTTACTATTGGCAGTTATTATTACATTTTATCCTGCTTTTTAATATATCTCAAGCTGGTGACATACCTGATACTGCTTCGTCTATCTATTTTCCCCAGACAACAATGATTTTGAGATGGGTTGGGCTGAGAGAGAATGACTAGCCCAAAGGCACCCAGTCTGCTTTCATGCTTAAAGGAGCCCTAGAACTCAGTCTCCTATTTTCTAGGCCACTACTTTCACCACTACACCAAAATGGCTCTTCGGTACATTTTTTGTTATGTTGAGGAAGTTCTATGAAAGGCACATGAAAAGTTTTCCTGATTTGTTAGCTGTCCCATATTGGGAGAATATACAAAGAGCAGCTGTAAATGCTAGTCAAAACTGAGCTATGTAGGATTCTCTCTCTCGCTGTCTTGATGTGATATGTCTTTGATTGTAAGTAATTATAAAGCATTTATAGCACTAGCATCTTCTTAATTTTGAAGGCACCTTTCTTTCCCTCAGCATCATGCTGAAAGTAAAAATTTCATGAAAAGCATGAAATAGTCTTTACTCAGTGGTGGGATTCAAATAATTTAACAACCGGTTCTCTGCCCTAATGACCGTCTGGCTGGGTGTGGCTGACTGTCTGGCTGGATGTGGCCAGGTGGGCATGGCCAGGGGGCATGACATCACTCAGCCTCCTGCAGCACTCTGCCAGCCAAAATGGGGCACAGGGGTTAATTATAAAATGTGGGCTTTGCTTTGTGACATCCAGATCCAGCGAGCAAGGGGTGTGAACTGCACAGAAAATACCCTTTTGTTTGGTTATGAAGAAATATACACTAAATGCAGACTGGCTACACACCTCCCCAGCAAACAGAAAATTTTGAAGTTCCAGGTAAAGAGGATTCATTTTAGGATGAGTAACCACAGTTTGTATGTTGGAGCTTCCTAAAGGAATGCTGGGAAACTCTGTATTTTAAAAAACATTTGAGGGAGGGGTGCAGACTAGCCCTTCTCTGCCTGACGCTGTAGAGACCCGGCACCAATAAAAACACTTTTTGTGAAGCAACTAATCAACACTGACAGGGTAAGCCACTAGTACCATGATGGCAAACCTATGGCACGCGTGCCATATCGGTGGGCACGCAAACTCAGGTCCGGCGCGCATGCGCACGCCGGACAGCTGATTTTTAGACCTTTTGGGGGCACTGGAAGTAAGGAAACAGGCTGTTTCCTGCCTCCGGAGGGCCTCGAGCGGTGCTGGAGGTAATGGTTCATATCACTTTAATCACTATTTGTGAATGAAACCACAACTGATTTATTTAATTGCACACAATGCTAAATAAAACAGGAATGGAAAATCTCTAGGCGTCTCTGGAGGCTGGGGACAGCAAAATAGTCACTTCCTGTCCCACCAGGAGTTGGGAAATGGGCCGTTTCAGGCCTCCGGAGGGCCTCTGTGGGAGTGGGAAAGGCTGTTTTCGCCCTTCCCAGATGCATAGAGAGGATCTGGAGCCAGGTGAGAAAGAAAAACGGGCCTTCCCCATCCCCACCAGGCCCTCCGGAGGCGGGAAACAGCCTGTTTCCCTACTTCTGGTGGGCTCAAAAGGCCTGAAAACCAGCTGGCTGATGCGCGCCAGAGCTGAGCTGCCGTGCCCACTGATATGGCTATGTGTGCCACCTGTGCCACACGTACCATAGGTTCGCCTATGGCTATAGGCATTAAATCATAAAACACAGAATATGAACATAGGTTAGAATATGAACATAGGTTGTGTAGTTTATTACCACAGATTAAAGTATTTTTGTAAATAAAGTATTTTTATAACTTCTGTCGGAAAGAGTACCCACTTCATTTCAAATGCTAATTCTACGAATAGAGAAAACCAGCAATAAGATCTAACTATATCCTTCCCCTATCTGTCAGTTTTACCCTATCACTTCTCATTCTGGTAACAAAAGCGGAAGAGTTTCTGGCTTGTGTCCCAAAGTCTCAGGAGCTGTGAGTGACCACTGCCAATCAGTTCTCCATTCCTTTTTTAAATTAACATCTTCTGTCCCTTGAATATAAATATTTAATTCATACAGATTTTAAAATGTTATATATTATGTAACATAATTTATACAGTTATGTTGATATCAATATTTAGTTTATTTTAAACCCAAATACAGATTAAAAATGAACAAAACTAAGAAAAGATCAAATACTGTAAAAAACACATTGATTGTTCATTCATTCAGGCTCAACATGTTTATTTGGCCACAACAGGTGCAGTATTTGCCTTGCCATGTATTATGTTTAGATACCACAGTTATCTAGCAATGGCAGTTGAAACACAAACGACTTCTGTCTTTTTCCTCAGTTTTAATCTAACATCAAACATTACAGTAGAAACGAGGGGTGGGGTGGGGAATGAAAATCACACTTGCTTCTTTTGAAGTTGCTTTGTGATAACATTGAACCAGTTCCAGGTAGTCCATTGATATCAGATTGCTGATGGTAGGACGTGAATTTTCAGTCTGATACTTTTCGTAAGTTTTGGAGCCAATGATAGGCTTTAACTTTCAGCCTTTTCCAGTTTCCAAATGAATGTACATCAGGGAGGAAGTGGCATTGTGACAAGTTTCATAGCTAACTTACACAGCTTTATTTGAAAATCAGATAAATCTCTAGGTATATTTGTATTTGTGCCCTGATTGATGTTATCTACTTCTCTACAAGCAAACAACCAACATAAATGAGCTCCAATGATTCCCTTCTATTGGATGTTTGTATTTTTTCAATAAAAAATGCTAGGCTTCCCCTTATGTCAATGGAAATCTCCAAAACAATTTCAATGCTGATCTACAAATTAATGAAGCTAGTATTACCACCAAAACTCACTTTTCCCCAACTTCCCCAAATTAAATTATCTCCATCCCTTTTAGCATTTCAGAAGACCCTCAAGAGCTAGCCATGTCATTAGGCTCCCAGGAAACCAGAGATTTGCTTTAGATGGCCCCATTATTGAGGTGAACGTTTTTAATCCTCTTTACCTAGGAGTTTCTGTATTTGTTTTTTCATACTCTTTATTTTGTAATGTATTTTTTTTAATATTTTGTTAATATCTATTGCTTTTATATCTGTTTTATCCAACTGTGCGGTGTCCAGAGTCACTTTTGATGAGATGAGCAGATATATAAAATAGATAGATAGATAGATAGATAGATAGATAGATAGATAGATAGGTAGGTAGGTAGGTAGGTAGGTAATTAAATTAAATTAAATTAAATTAAATTAAATTAAATTAAATTAAATAATTAATAAGCAATTTCTTGTGATATGTTGAAGCCATGAGGAAACCACAGAAGTAGTAACCAGAAAGTAGATCATTATATCATTTCTATACTGTTGACCATAGATATTATAGTGTGTATAAATTATGGTTGACTTATTTTGTGTCCAGGGAATATGAAAAATGCAGAGATTATGTTGCCTAGCGAAAGCACAACCATCTAATCCCACTTGCAGTTAAATACCTTCCAAGAATATTTCTTTGGTATTTTTGTGAGTCTCTGCATCCATGCTTTTATAGTTTAATATTTCCACTATTACCAAGAGGTATGCAGAACTACCGGGTGCCAAACACTGCCAAATTAAAGTGAATAATACTTATTTCTAACTCTATCATGAAATAAATCTTGTTCTAAATATCATTCAGTGAAATGGCATTCCAAAATAGCTTCTTAAAAAACTGTCAAGGTGATTAATATTATGTGTGCAATGCAAGTAGATAGCGGACTCCTTGTTGCACAGTGCAAAAGATATTTTCTAGTTGCTTTCACTGAGATATTGGTAACATCTTATCTAATAACTGAAAATTCTAGTATGACAGAATGGATTTATGAGGACTAATATCTGGGAAAATATCATGAGGTAAGGCACTGCATAACTGGATGTAAGAGCCAGGGTAAAGAGGTAAAAGATTGCACCCAAACATGTAACTCAAAATCAGTAAAGAGGTAGCTATGCTGGTTAATTTTGGGGAGGAGGGGTATTGGCAAAAAACAAAACAAAACACTACAACAACAGAAATCCAAGAATCTTATAGCAGAGCTTCCTTTTCACATACATTTTCTTGAATCTCAAACCCCTTTAGAAACCGTTCCCTAGAGAGAAACATTTTCTGTCTAGATATTTACAGGTGGAGGAAAAGAAGGGAAATAAACATGTTTTAGAAAAATAAAAGTATTTTAGTCATAGGAAAGAAACACGACGACATTATTTCCCTCGTGGTTGTTTAACAGAGGCTTCAAAGACATTCCATATGCTTTAAGACAGAAGGCCCCACATTTAATTTCTGGGATTTCCTTTTTAAAAGGATGTTAAGCAGCCAGGTTGGCTGCTGCTGGGCGGGGGAGAGTGTCCGAGTGGCCTGTTGCCAACCACCTAGATTGTGATCATGTGACTTCAGGGGTATATGTGTGTGTGATGGCCAGAACTATGAGGACTGGTTGTTAAGTCTCCTTTTTGAGCACCCTTATATGTTCAAACAGTCCCTGGACACATGGTCAATAAGCAAGAACTACCTGTAATGAGTATTATTAGTTGCGGTTCTATCAGTAAATAAAAATGTATTAATGACCTGTGAAAACCAGTGGCATGTTATCTATAGTGTGTATCGCTTTTAATTGCTTGTTATCTAACCACTTAGCAATCCAGACATTTCTGAAAAGAAATAATGGTTCAGAGCTACTCTTGTCTTGAAGATGGATTTTGGTGGTTCCATCCGTTTGTCTCCATTATTATCCCTCTGACAAAACAGTTGCATTTGGGTGCATAAACTTTTATAATATTGGGATTATTTAAAAAAACAACAACATTGTATTCAAAGGTTTTGAGCTGTGTTTAAAATGGAGAGCTTTTGCAAGAAGAATAATTTTACTTATTTGTTTGTAACAGGTTTATGCTAAAAAACACACTGTCCCATACTAAAGAAGGGCTCGATGCTAAAGGAATCGGAGGTACATCTTTGCTTATGGAGATGCCTTTTCAAGAACAGAAATGTGAAACTGCAAATATCATCAATATCAACAATTTAGACCAAAGACCTGGGCACCAAAAAGTAGAGTCTGGAGATTGTTGCCCCTGGCCGGAGAGACAGCATCTTTGTCAAGGAGAAGGGAGCCAATGTGCCACTCCTCTTGGTCACAATGTGGGCAGTTTGCAATATCAGCAGAGGCCGTTGCACATTGTTTGGCCTCACAGATGGTGAGTGTAACGTCAACACTGAAATGTTGTGTCTAATAGAATTTGAATTTGGAAACAGTGCTATTTTCTTCAGTGATGAAGATTGTAGGATTTTGTTTTAATTTGTTTTAATATTCATACTAATAGAAGAGAATATCCATAGGTCAGGCTTGAATTGTGGAGTCCTTGGTCTCTCTGGGCTGGATTGTTGCTTGCAGGCATTTCTTTACCCGACTAGGAAACATCATCAGTGATAGTGAGTGTGGGGTTTGCTCCCTGTTATATACAGTAGCTTGTCTTACCAGTGTTGGTGGGGATGTGGTTTTCTCCATGGTAGTTCCTTGAGTATTGTTTTCTGCTTGTTTTTCTGGTGTTAATCATTATCTAAACTCATAGAGATAAATTACATTTACACATTTATAAGAAACAATAAAAAAGCTAAGAAGGAAACAAAAAGAACACATCCTCTTCAGCAACCAACACCTATATAAGCGGACAAATCAGGGGTGTCAAACTCCCGGCCCATGGGCCGGATGCGTCATGTATTGGCCACGCCCGCCCCCGGTTTAGCAAAGGGGAAAAAAGTCATGATACGTCATGTGATGATGACGTGATGCCACAAGTTTGTCACCCCTGGGACAAATAATCAAATCAGACAATCAATCGAACAATCAATAGCCTGATCAAGGAACTACCAAGGAGATAACCACACCTTCACCAACACTGGCAAGTTACTATATATAACTGATAATAATAATAACTTGATTGTCATTGTATGTATATACACAGTATACCCATACAACGAAATTCACTTAACACCCAAAGACCAGGTCCAACACACATAACAATCCCCAAACACCCCCACTACCACCACAAATTCCCCACCCTTAAACCACCCAAACATCCACACAACAGACCAAGTAATGCTGTCCAACAGCTCACTGATGGTAGCCCTTTAGTTCATTGTTGAGTACAATTATAGCTCTGGGATAAAAACTATTCAGAAAACGTGTGGTCTGAGTTTTAATTGTTCTGTATCTTCTGCCAGAAGGCAACAGTCCAAAAAAATGGTAAGCAGGAAATTTCTGAGAATGTTATGCAACTTCCTCAAACAGCGAGATTCGAAGATGTCATCCAGGGCTGGTAGCTGGAGCCCGATGATATTCTGGGCAGTTTTAATGATTCTCTGTAGACCTTTTTCGTCCACTGCAGAGCTGCTCCTATACCATGCAAGAATGCCGTATGTCAGGACACTCTCTATGGTGCTGCGATAGTAGGACAGAAGTAGATGCTGAGATAGATTTATCTTCCTGAGCATTCTCAGGAAGTACACAGGGAGCAAACCCCACACTCCATAGCATTGATGATGTTATCTAGATGGGTAATAAAATGTCTGAGAACAACCAAGCTCAGAGAGCACCAAGGACTCCAGAATTAAGTACTTGGTTAGAAAATGAAGTGCTGAAAATCACTGTTTAAAAAAAAAACAGAGGGAGGGAGCTGAGCATCTCTATATGGACAAGAAACATGGGATGACACTAAAAATATGAAAACTGCTGAAAATCCTGCTTGAAAGCAGCTCTGTCCACTAATAATGTTTAATATGCAGTGCTATTTAAAAAAATCTTAATTATCCTAATGTGACTGACTAGGTGTTAATATTCAAGACCATACTATGCTATTTGCATCTTCGTTTTAAAATCTATCTTTCCTACAATTTATTTATTTATTTTTTAGAAATCAGCATATGCTTATATGTAGGCTTAGAGGGAATGGAATAGGCTATAAGAAAGCTGCTGCTCTTCAAGCTGTTGACCTGATCGCCAAATCTTTTCTAAACTGAAGTAAATCTACCCTCCCACGTAATCACTACAAATATATAAACTTTAGCTTGACTCCTACCATAAATTAGGATTTAAAGAGGTAAAATGTCCTGATAATCTTCCGGTATTGGGCACGAACATTTTAATCTAGTATTTTTTTTCCCCCCTCACAGTTCTTTAATCTGCATGTGGCCTGATTAGAGTTCACTTCATCCACAGATTATACTGTGTTTATTTTTGAGATGCCGGGTCGATCAGTAGGTCAGATTTTTCTGAGAGCAACGGTTTGCAGGTGAAGCCATAAGAACACCACACCGACGAGGCAAATCGCCTTTGTGGGGGATTTGACTTCCAACACATTAAAACTCCAGAAGCTTTCCCAGATGATCTGCAGCATCTGGTACCTAAAGGGATTTTCATCTTTGACTCCAAATGTCTGAACATAAAAATTTAGGGATTGGAAGTCGATGCGGAATCCGTCTTTGGATTTGTTTAATCAACTTCACACTTCTCACATGATGTTTCTCGGGGAGCTACATTTATTTTTAGTCAAATTTAATTGCCATCAGCTCCACCAAAAAAATAAATAAAAAAATGCTGTGTTCTCATAGGCTGTTTTACAATGTGGTATGCTTGTGACATGTATTGATTGCCATTCCATTAGTGATTAGGAATGTGAAGTTCATAAATCTAATAACCAGGCCTGCTAGTTTGTTGATTTTTTTTTCTTGTGACAAACAGCTATATTAGAATACATGCTGAAACTTTTATAGATTGTGAGGTTTCCTTTAAAATACAGATCTCTTTTTTGGGGGTGGGGGAGTGAGTTTTATTTCCCCCCCTAGGTATTATTAAAAATAAATAAATTGCAGGGTAAATGAAAAGGAAAATATACCCCCCCCCTAATTACTATGCCTTTTGCATAAAGGAGCACAAAGCTAAATTAATGAAATGAGCAATATTCAGTGAAATGATTCCTTTTCTTTCTGTGTATTTTTAGGCCCTTGTTTTGTTTAATTTAATTTTGTTGCCTAAAGTTAGTTGCTTAAAGAGATGCAGGCTTCTGTCTGCACGCATCCTTATTGTTAGAGCTAAATTATTTTTAATTTGGAAAAGAGGAGAAGCCACATCAGCAAGATCAAATGCCAAAATATAAAAGTAACACATTCACCCTTACGGGTAATATAGTAGAACATTGGAAACTTGGAGGTTGCCAGACACACAGCTAACATTAGGGCTAATTTTGAAAATCTAGCGTGCAGTCAATTTTACTGATGCCTGGGGACATACAAGGTAGAAGCTGACAAGAGAACTAATTTTGTTTGGGTTATTTACTGCTATGCATCATCCAGGGTTCCCGCCTGACACACGGCTATATGAAGGGGAATATTATCACATACTAAAAATTTATGTTGACATTCGATATTTGTTCAATATGTCAGCAGTATTACTTTCATAATCAAAAGAGTGAGGAGAACAGAGAGGGGGGAAAAGGCACTTTATGCTCATATAGATATATCTTTTTAATAACCGTCTATAAGGTTAATATAGTTTACCTTTGAGAGTATACAATGAAAACAAGCAGGGTGAGCCGGGAAAATGACAGAAAGCATCAACCGGGGCTGTTTGTTTGCCATTACCTAAGCGAGCCATGTCAGCTCTCTGGCCCGCGTCTGATAGCTATTTGTTGTACAGAGAGCACAGCATAAAAAAAAAAAAAACGGAGAAAAAAAATATCAAACTCTTAATACTATTGTGTGCCCATAACCATCTGTCACTGCTAGCCTGGAGATGAGAGGAAGATTACGAGGAATAAACACTGAGCGGCTGAGCATTGGTAAAGCCTTCAGGCAAAAAACTCTTGTGGGGACATCAAAGACATTCTAATTCCGAGGCAGTCAAGGATTACAGTGTGTAACCTGTGCTGACAACAGATAAATGACTGGCAATATTGTGCCAGAGCTGTTGGGTCCTGCGTGGAGTCCTGATGGTGATGGCGATGGTGATGATGATGATGTTATCTTGCGGAATGGACTCTGCTGGGATAATTTTATGATAAAACACTCTTTCCCCCCACTCCCCAAATGCCACTGGGTCTAGGCAGACATTGACTAGCTACGGGGGTAGCAATCAGTTTCCTCAAAATTTACTGTTCTAAGCCCATTAGAGTTCCAGCGCAGCCAGGCTTTGCGATGAAAATCCAAAACGCCAGTATTTCCACGTCAGAAAAGAAGCACGTATGCAAATGGTTGGAGGGCTTCGACTCTAAGCATTTAGTGTTGGGATATTCAAGCAAAATGATTTATGTAAATATGCTCATAAAAATGCAATTACCCCTTCTCTCTTCCCCCCCATCTCTCTTTTTAAAAATGATAAATATGAAATAGTAAATTAAAAAAATGTAGTTCAACCCGTTAGTCATGAGAAGATAATACCAGCGGAGAAACCTGCATCGCACAGGTAAATACAATAGGCTCTGCTGTTGGAATGAGATGCACAAACACACACACACACACACACGCATCATTCACCGCATTAGCAGCTAACAATTTTCTGCGCCTTATTCAGGCATTAGCAGATTGAAATATTCCCTTCTGAGGCCCTGAAATGATCTCATTAAACAAACACCAGGTTTTGGTAATTGATGTAATAAGGAGGATGTGGAGTTGCTGGTAAAAGTATTGTCAAAGAGTGCTGCTACTCTTTCAAGATGCTAGACTTTCTCACCGCAGCCATTTCCCCGCACAAGAATACTAGTACGACTTGAAAACTTAAAAGCGGGTAATATGTAAATTTATTTATTTATTTAGCATTCTGAGCTTTCAGCTCACCTACTGTCTATTTCTCTCTTACAATGAAACAATACCTCATTGTGATGTTCTGCACCAGAATCCCCAAATGTTTCTCGCCTTGTTTTGTTAGAAATGAATGGCCTGATCCTTTGGCCTCTTGTGCCAGCAAGAGTCTGTAGAGAATCAAAAGCTTTTTTCATCTGCCAGAGCAACGCTGTGACTTGTGGCTTTGCTTCACTGTTGAGACCGAGCCAAAGGCACAGCCAGCCCAAGATATTTTGGCTGCTTGAGGTGAAGGACAAGACATTGCTTCCCCAGTCCACATGCAGATGTCATTTAGGTTTCAACTGAATTGTGCTTCAACATTTGCATCCAGGCAATATTCGTAGTTGCATCTTGGTACAGT